GCAATGCTTCCAGTCTCTAACATATTAGATATAAGAAAGTGTCAACCAACATTCACTTCTGTACATGGCTGACAAGTGCTCAGTCTTAAGCCATCGTTTTCATAGTCACTGGGAAAACCAATGACCCTCGCAAACCAAGCTACACACTAGTGTATAAAATATGCTGTGTACATGCTGTGTATACCACATACATGCAAAGAATAACTCCCTCGCCCAACATTTCCTCTACTGGAAAAATGCTGTTGAACTTGTAGTGCCTGCAATTTGTAATGTCATTTTAAGAGGGAGCCTTACACGGACCTTATGTGTGTCAGAGAATTCTGTGTCGTATGCTAAAAGTGAGGGAGTCCCTACTCCACGCTCGGCTAACAGTGAGGGAATCCCTGCTCCAGGCTCTGCTAACAGTGAGGGAATCCCTGCTCCAGGCTCTGCTAACAGTGAGGGAATCCCTGCTCCAGGCTCTGCTAACAGTGAGGGAATCCCTGCTCCAGGCTCTGCTAACAGTCAGGGAATCCCTGCTCCAGGCTCTGCTAACAGTGAGGGAATCCCTGCTCCAGGCTCTGCTAACAGTCAGGGAATCCATGCTCCAGGCTCTGCTAACAGTGAGGGAATCTATGCTCCAGGCTATGCTAACAGTGAGGGAATCCCCACTGAAGGCTCTGCTAAAAGTGATTGAATCTTGCTCCAGGCTCTGCTAATAGTGAGAGATTTCCTGCTCCAGGCACTGCCAACAGTGAGGGAATCCCTGCTTCAGGCTCTATTAATAGTGAGGGAATCCCTGCTCCAATCTCTGTTAATAGTAAGTTATTCCATTCTCTTTCTTCTGTTAATAGTGAGGGACTCCCTGCTCCAGGCTCTGCTAATAGTGAGGGAATCCCCGCTCCAAGCTCTGATAAATGCGAAATTCATGCTCCAGGCTCTGATAATTGTGAGGGAATCCCTGCTCCAGAATGTGAATAGTGAGGGTATTCTTGCTCTGGGCTCTGTTAATAGTGATGGAATCCGTGCTCCAGGCTCTGTTAATAGTGAATGAATTCCTGCTCCAGGCTCGGATAATAGTAAGGAAATCCCAGCTCCAGACTGTTAATAGTGAGGAGATCTCTGCTCCAAACTCTATTAATAGTAAGGGAATCCCATCTTCAGGCTCTGCTAACAGTGAGGGATTCCTTGCTCCAGGCTCTAACAGTGAGGGAATCCCTGCTTTAGGCTTGTGTTAATAGTGAGCGAATCCCTGCTCCAGGCCCTGCTAATAGTGAGGGAATCCCCACTCCAGACTCTGATAAATGTGAGGGTATTCATGCTCCAGGCTCTGATAATTGTGAGGGAATCCCCACTCCAGACTCTGATAAATGTGAGGGTATTCATGCTCCAGGCTCTGATAATTGTAAGGGAATCCCTGCTCCAGACTATGTTAATAGTGAGGGAATCCCTGTTCCAGGCTCTGTTAATAGTGAGGGATTAATGTTTTTTTTTTTGTCTAATAGGGCAGAAATCCTTCCCATTGCTACTGTTAATAGTGAGGGAATTCATGCTCAAGGCTCTACTAACAGTGAGGAATTTCTTACTCCAGACTCTGTTAATAGTGAGGGATCCCCTGCCCCAGGCTGTGGTAATAGTAAGGGAATCCATGCTCTGCTAACAGTGAGGCAATACCCCACTCTGTAACTAGTGAGGGAATCCCTGCTCCAGCATCTGCTAATAGTGAGGGAATCCCCAACTCTGTTAATAGTGAGGGAATTCCATCTTCAGACTCTGGTAATAGTAAGGGTATTCATGCTCGAGGCTCTGATAATAGTGAGGGTATTCATGCTCCAGGCTCTGTTAATAGTGAAAGAATCCCTGTTTCAGACTCTATAAATATTTTGGGAATCCCTGCTCCAGACTCTGTTAATAGTGAAGGAATCCCTTATTTTAGGCTCTGCTAACAGTAAAGGAATCCCTGCTCCGGGCTCTGCTAACAGTGAGGGAATTCCTGCTCCAGGCTCTGTTAATGAGGGATCCCCTGCCCTTGACTGTGTTAATAGTGAGGGGAACCCTGCTCCAGGCTCTGCTAACAGTGAGGGAATCCCCAACTCTGGTAATAGTGAGGGAATCCCTGCTCCAGGCTCTGTTTATGAGGGATCCCCTGGCCCAGGCTGTGGTAATAGTGAAGGAATCCATGCTCTGCTAACAGTGAGGGAATTCCCCACTCTGTAACTAGTAAGGGAATGCCTGCTCCAGGCTCTGCTAATAGTGAGGGAATCCCCAACTCTGTTAATAGTGAGGGAATTCCATCTCCAGGCTCTGGTAATAGTGAGTGTATTCATGCTCCATGCTCTGATAATTGTGAGGGTATTCATCCTCCAGGCTCTTTTAATAGTGAGAAAATCCATGTTTCAGACTCTATAAATATTTAGGGAATCCCTGCTCCAGACTCTGTTAATAGTGAAGGAATCCCTTATTTCAGGCTCTGCTAACAGTGAAGGAATCCCTGCTCCAGGCACTTCTAACAGTGAGGGAATCCCTGCTCCAGGCTCCGTTTAATGAGTGATCCCTTGCCCCTGACTATGTTAATAGTGAGGGAAACCATGCTCCAGGCTCTGCTAACAGTGAGGAAATCCCTGCTCCAGGCTCTGTTAATGAGGGTTTCCCCGCCCTGGATGTGTTAATAGTGAGGGAATCCCTGCTCCAGACTCTGTTAATAGTGAAGGAATCCCTGCTTCAGGCTCTGTTAACATTGAAGGTACCTCTTCTGTTCACTTTGACCATGGTTAGAATGGTATTGATAATATAGTTTGCTGTTTATAGACTGCATACAGTAATCTCCCTAAACAGTAAAGATCAGACAATTGATATTAAGCAGAGTTGTTTCTGTATAGAGCAGGGTATGTCTATTCACAGCACTGTGATCCCATATAACTGGTATCTTTATGTAGAGCTAGGTGTATTATAGTGTGTATGTTGAGCCATGTGCATTTATATATTTGGAAAGACCACATATCTCACACTATAAGGGTTAATTACGCATTTATAAATTAAACTTCTTATTCTTGTTCCCCATTATTCCCAGCTCCCTATCCCGTCGCCCAATTATTCCCATCACCCTATTCTAAGTTTATATTCCCACCACCCCTTTATTCTCAGTATATCTTCCCATCACCCCAGTATTCTCCATATATCTTCTTATTACCCCAGTATATCTTACCATAACCCCAGTATTCTCAGTATATCTTCCCGTCACCCCATTATTCTCAGTATATCTTCCCGTCACCCCATTATTCTCAGTATATCTTCCCGTCACCCCATTATTGTCAGTATATCTTCCCATCACCCCATTATTCTCAGTATATCTTCCCGTCACCCCATTATTGTCAGTATATCTTCCCATCACGCCATTATTCTCAGTATATCTTCCCATCACCCCATTATTCTCAGTATATCTTCCCATAACCCCCATTATTCTCAGTATATCTTCCCATCACCCCATTATTCTCAGTATATCTTCCCATAACCCCCATTATTCTCAGTATATCTTCCCATTACCCCATTATTGTCAGTATATCTTCCCATAACCCCATTATTGTCAGTATATCTTCCCATAACCCCCATTATTCTCAGTATATCTTCCCGTCACCCCATTATTCTCAGTATATCTTCCCGTCACCCCATTATTCTCAGTATATCTTCCCGTCACCCCATTATTGTCAGTATATCTTCCCATCACCCCATTATTCTCAGTATATCTTCCCGTCACCCCATTATTGTCAGTATATCTTCCCGTCACCCCATTATTCTCAGTATATCTTCCCGTCACCCCATTATTCTCAGTATATCTTCCCATTACCCCATTATTCTCAGTATATCTTCCCGTCACCCCATTATTCTCAGTATATCTTCCCATTACCCCATTATTCTCAGTATATCTTCCCATCACCCCATTATTCTCAGTATATCTTCCCATCACTCCATTATTCTCAGTATATCTTCCCATTACCCCAGTATTGTCAGTATATCTTCCCATCACCCCATTATTCTCAGTATATCTTCCCATCACCCCATTATTCTCAGTATATCTTCCCATCACCCCAGTATTGTCAGTATATCTTCCCATAACCCCATTATTCTCAGTATATCTTCCCATTTATTCTCAGTATATCTTCCCATATCTTCCCACCCATTATTCTCAGTATATCTTCCCATCACCCCATTATTCTCAGTATATCTTCCCATTATCCCATTATTCTCAGTATATCTTCCCATCACCCCATTATTCTCAGTATATCTTCCCATCACTCCATTATTCTCAGTATATCTTCCCATTACCCCAGTATTGTCAGTATATCTTCCCATAACCCCATTATTCTCAGTATATCTTCCCATCACCCCATTATTCTCAGTATATCTTCCCATCACCCCATTATTCTCAGTATATCTTCCCATCACCCCAGTATTGTCAGTATATCTTCCCATAACCCCATTATTCTCAGTATATCTTCCCATCACCCCATTATTCTCAGTATATCTTCCCATTACCCCATTATTCTCAGTATATCTTCCCATCACCCCATTATTCTCAGTATATCTTCCCATTACCCCAGTATTGTCAGTATATCTTCCCATAACCCCATTATTCTCAGTATATCTTCCCATCACCCCAGTATTCTCAGTATATCTTCCCATCACCCATTATTCTCAGTATATCTTCCCATCACCCCAGTATTCCCAGCTCCTGCTATATTCCACATCTGTTCTAAAGCTTAGGGCTCTTCCCGGCAGCCACACCCCCTGTCGCTTCATTCCACCCCTTTAACAGGATGTTTTCCATATAAGGTTATCTGCGTCATTGGATTCCCGAGTCTCGACTGAACCAATTGTGTCACTGGAGGGACGGGCAAGTCTTATCTTTCAGAATTTGATTTAAGATCTTGGATGAAAGTATTCCTTACAGTAGTACAGATAACCCGGAGGGTAAGCTCGCACTGTGCACGTTCTAGAATGCACGAGGACGCGCGCTGCCGTCCCCTGCAGAATGGTACAGTCCGATTCGTGACGTATCTCATTCGAGCCAGATCCAAGCACTATAAAAGGACGAAGGGACGGGTGTTCCAGCATTGACAGCTTCAGCCTCCGAGTGTTAGCATCTAGTGAACGGACACAGAGCTTCCTGCTTCCCACTCACCGCTGGGCACAGAGCTCCCTGATACCCACTCACTGCCGGGCACAGAGCTCCCTGATACCCACTCACTGCCGGGCACAGAGCTCCTTGATACCCCCAGCACCATGTATCACGGATTTTCTAGCAGCACTGACTATGAAGCAGCTTCTTCCCGCTGCAGCAGCGCTTCTCCGGCTGGGGACAGCGTGACTTACTACCCGTCCCCCGCAGCCTCCTTCACCAGCCTCGGATCACCGGTCACTCCACAGGTAAGGACAGGGAATGCTGTGTTTGGGGGGTTTGTGGCAGCAGTTTGGATTTACCTTGCAATAAGTTGTACCCGGCCTGGGGGCATGGTGTATAGACATGCAGTGTGTGTGTATAAATATAGTGTGTAACTCGCCATTGCTCCCCCTTCACCCCCATGCAGTTTATACAGACTGGGCACATAGTGTGTGCCCCCTCTGCCATGCAGTGTGTATAAATATAGTGTGTAACTCGCCATTGCTCCCCCTTCACCCCCATGCAGTTTATACAGACTGGGCACATAGTGTGTGCCCCCTCTGCCATGCAGTGTGTATAAATATAGTGTGTAACTCGCCATTGCTCCCCCTTCACCCCCATGTAGTGTATACAGACTGGGCACATAGTGTGTGCCCCCTCTGCCATGCAGTGTGTGTGTGTGTATAAATATAGTGTGTAACTCCCATCTCCCTCCCCCCCCCCATGCAGTGTATACAGACTGGGCACATAGAGTGTGCCCCCTCTGCCATGCAGTGTGTATAAATATAGTGTGTGCCCCCTCTGCCATGCAGTGTATAAATATAGTGTATACAGACTGGGCACAGTGTGTGTTTGCTGTGCCCTCTCCCCTCCTCCCTCTCTGTGTGTAAAGCTGTTCATTGATAAAACGCACGGTTCATTCAGGAGACTCCAGGCAGCTCCTGCGTCACTAGTGACGTTACTGAGCTATTTCGGTCCTACTCTCCCAGAAGTAATGAATGAATCGGTTGCAGGCTGGGCATGGTGTCTGTATTGCATGCTCATTAAATCATCTTCTGTTATCTCTCCTCCAGGATTTCTGCACAGACTCCAGTAGCAGCTTCGTCCCTACAGTCACAGCCATTTCCACATCTGCAGACTTGCAGTGGCTGGTGCAGCCCACCTTAATTTCATCAATGGCCCCATCCCAGACCCGCAGCCATCCTTATGAACCAGCCCAGTCCTACAGTAGAAGTGGAGTGCTGAAAGGCTCAGGAGGGCGAGGACAAAGCTTGGGTCGGAGAGGAAAGCTGGAACAGGTAATTATCAATGATGGTCCTCTTCCAAAAAGTGTCACTTTCTCAATTAATCCGTGCTGCAAGCCATATGTGTGCAGTCTGTTTGCTCTAAACTGAATATTTGCCTTGTTTCTTCCTTCAGCTTTCCCCAGAAGAAGAAGAAAAAAGGAGAGTGAGGCGGGAAAGAAATAAAATGGCTGCAGCCAAATGTCGTAACAGGCGCCGAGAGTTAACTGACACCCTCCAAGCTGTAAGTATTTTATTTAACTCCATTAATTCTATTTATTGGTGGTCATCACTGACCTATTTACTCTGCAATCACGGTGTTCCTAACGTGTGGTTTTTGTTTTCTTATTGTAGGAGACTGATGATTTGGAAGATGAGAAGTCTGCTCTGCAGGCAGAGATTGCTAGTCTCCTGAAGGAGAAAGAGAAGTTAGAGTTCATCCTTGCAGCACACAAACCAGCCTGCAAAATCCCACATGATCTGGAGGGGTCTTTCCAGGACTTCACCTCTACCCTGGATCTTGGTCTGATTGCTGAGACCCCCTGTGCACCCAGTTCACAGGAGTCTCCAGTGGAGTGCATCTTCACTCTAAGTGACACTCAGTCTTCCATCCCTGTGGCTGAGCAGGCCCCCCAGCTGCCGGTGTCTCTACAACTCAAGTCAGAGCCTTTGGATGACTTCCTCTTTACCTCTCCTCACCCTGGAGCTACTGATGCTGCCCGCTCTGTGCCTGATGTTGATCTGAACAGCTCTCTGTACACATCTGACTGGGAGCCTCTATATAATACTCTGTCAGTAGACATGGAGCCCCTCTGCACCCCTGTAGTTACATGCACACCAACGTGCACAACTTACACAACCTCATTTGTCTTCACATACCCGGAGTCTGATCCCTTCCCCAACTGTGGAGCAGCCCACCGGAGAGGTAGCAGCAGCAACGAGCAGTCATCAGACTCTTTAAACTCTCCTACCTTGTTGGCTTTGTAATGCCAAAGAATCCCAATCATGAGGAATAACCAGGGCCGCAGAACACTCCAAAACTTGGTGCCTCTTACACTCTAATGGCAATAAGTCACAAGTTTTTTCCACCTCATTGTGTCAAGACTGGCTTTTTACTGCAGTGTGTAAACTGTGCATGTTCCACAATATATACCATGCCCTGGTGCTTGACTCTGCAGGAATTTAGACTGAACATGGTGGTAACTTGCTCATCCAGTGCCCAGAAACGACTGCATATGTCTGTGGTGGCCAGTCCAGCTCTGTCAAACTACATAGTGTGCAAAGGGGCAACTGCTTCCAACTGCCATGAAAGCTTCATACCTCTTCCCAACATTTAGCTCTGGAATGGACTTGGTTCTCAAATCTGACCTTTTTTATTTATTTTCTTTAATATGTAGCATGATCTCTCCCCTGTGCTAGTGATGGGGTTAACATGTTTAGGTAATCTGTGATCTGCTGGCTTGGCGTCTAGTCTGGAGTAGTGTACCAAGCCAGTATGCAGGGTTGTTCTGGTGCTGGCTGATTAGGAGGTGACTGGCAGATTTGGAGCTATGTCCCCTGCAGCCGCATTTACTTTCCTTGTGCGAGTCTTTCTAGAATTTATTAAATTTGTTGAAGCCGGACACATTGTGAACACACTGTTTTTATTTATTTCTCTTTTGATTGTAATTCCGTCTGTGTCCTTCCAAGTTTTCCATGAAAACGTTTTATTTCTTGTAGACGGCTATGTTTAATTTATTATGAATTGAGAATATTTATATTTTTATCTGTATTTTATTTTCTACCTTGCCTTTTGTGGACAGAGGGCCGTATGTCTAAGCAGAACCTGCTTACCAAGGACAACAAATAAAATGTATTTGCATTCATTGCATCCAAGAGTGTCTGTTTTCTTTAATTTCGCACACCTAAAAGGATCTGTATGGGAGTATTGCTATTAAGTCGGTACTTTTTTTTTTTGAAGACTTGGGTACTGATGGCGGCAGGGGGAAAATGGAGAAGTGTTTCTAAAGTAGCAATCTAAACATTTATGCTTTATCTGCACAAGAAGAAAAGCAACTGCTGCTTACCTTTTGTTTGGAATCCGTAGAACCCTCTGGCAACTTGCAGCTTGTGTGCAATCTTAACAAGTGCTGTGAGTTGTCCTGTGTGTGCAGCATATTCAATACAGTCCAAGGGAAAAGTCATCTGCCACAGATGGACCGGTTTTGTCTGTCATGGTAACCAGGGAGCTTGAAGATGAGAATTAACACAACATAAAGGATTTTGTTTAGGGTTGCTTAGTCTTAATAGTAAATGGTGTATTCACTAAAGTGGAAATTGCAGATTTGACCAGGATATTTTAGATTTGACTCCAATTGCTGGAGAGCAGTTAGGCGATTTAACCTAAAATTTGTGCGCCTCGCTCTCTGAATGATCAGGACAAGTTTTAGATTTTGCTAAAAAAATGTATCCTTAGACATGTTCTCATCTCCAATACAGGGGGTGTAGGGTAACTAAATCAGGCCCCTTACTTTAACTTGACTGACACTTTTTTGTGTGTGTGTGTATATCTATATCTCCATGAATACCAGCATTTAAACAGACCCATCTAAGGGCAATTAAATGATTCAGTCTCACTATTTGAGTATGTTTTAATGGTGACAAAATACCTACGGTCACCCTGCTGCATACTATGTTGCAGCATTTTTGTGCACTTAAAAAGTGAGTACATGGAAAAATTTAAAGCTGGGAATTGCTCTCTGCAAACTTTATAATTTTACCTATAAAAGTCTGGAATTTGGAAGATTTAAATTAACACTAAAATTACCTTTTTTAGCTTAAAGGAACACTATAGTGACAGGATACAAACTTGTTTATCAATGTTTAGGTCTCCGCCTCCGTGGCAGAGATTATCAAACTTGATGATCTCAGCCAATTGAATGCTTTTTCCATAGGGGAGCCTTTGGAGGCGATTCTACATGCGTGGCAAAACACTGTGCAGTGCCAAACCGTATCATCTCTACGGGGAATGTGCAGCACTGGCTCAGGAAGCACATCTAGTGGCAGGGTGTGGGACTGCCACTGCAGATATCCCTGGGCAGTAATGTAAACACTGCATTATATATGAAAAAGCAGTGTTCACATTAAAATGCCTGCATGAACTGACTAAAGACACCAGAACAATTACATTAAGTTATAGTATTCCTTTAATGAAGCAGTGTTGGTGTAAGAACATGCTCATCTGGTCTCTCTGCTCAACTCTCATATAGTTACATAATTTTGGTTATGCAGCCCTAGTCTCTCACACACACACACACACACACACACACATATATATATACATATATATATATATATATTTTTTTTTTTAACAAATGCCTGTAGGCAAACCGTTTTTAACCTAATTATCGTAATGTGTTAACAAGGAAGGGGCTGGGGGCCAACTATACCCTTGAAAATAATCACATCTATATATAAAACTCCAAGCACCATAACCAGTAGTCTGCTGTCGTGGTTATGATAACAGGAGTGCCCTTATGCTCTCAGAGGGTAATTTGTCAAACCGTTTAACAGAACACTAGCGTTAAAGGGACACTGCAGGTATCCAGAAAACTTCTGCCCATTGGAGTGGTTTGGGTGCCAACTCCCACCACCCTTAACCCTGCAAGGTAATTATTGCAGTTTTTAGAAACTGCAATAATTACCTTGCAGGGTTAAGTCTTCCTATAGTGGTTGTCTTTCAGACAGCCACTAGAACTTTCAGACAGCCACTAGAACACGAAAAGTGTTTTAAACGACACTGGTCCTCCTCATGCTATGTGAGGACCTCCCAGCATTGCCGAAATCCCCATAGGAAAGCATTACGTGCCTGCGTGGCCATTGAGTAGGCGGAGCCCACTCAGCACCGAGGGACATCGGCGCTGGACTCAGGTAAGCAACATGGGATGGAAGGGAGAGGGGCACTGCAGTGCCAGGAAAACTGTTTTCCTGCACTGGAGAGTCCCTTTAAGAATACAAACATGCAATCATATTGCTATAATTTTTTTTTTTAAACCGCATTTAAATGCCCGCCATCCCCCAACCCAAATGCGTGAGCGTTGTTAGTTTTACACACTGTAATCTCTGGAGGAAGTTCTGCCTCCTTGGCTGAGATCATTGATAACTGCAGCCAATGTTTTATGTTATGAAATTGTTTTGCTTTGCTATTTAGTTGGAAGAGCCTCTAGAGGCATTTAAACCCTGCTTGTAAACATTGCTGTTCCTGAATAACGGCAGGGTTAAAACTAGAGGGACATGGTTCCCAGACCATTTCATGAACATGAACTGGTCTGGGTGTCTATAGAGTCTCTTAAGAACGGTTTGACAACTTACATAGATCTGTCTCTGCACGTCCAGCTTTTGGATTCTCTGTAAAGAGAATCTGGTTAGCTACACTGGGCTAGGCAGAGTTGCTCACATTGGCAGTGACAGCTGAACACTCTCCGCCTATATTAGGCTGTACTTAGTTTAGGGGAGACAACTATTTAAGAACTTTTTGACAAAATTACTATAGGTGGGTGCCCGGGCTTCCTGGCACCATAATTAATACAACAAACTGTAATGACTATAAGAGCTTAGCGCTCCTTAAAAAAAAAAAAAAATAAAACTGTGTAGGTTAGGCTATTTATGTTGTTTTTTTAAATTAAATCTGAATTGGTTTTACGCCATAAACCCACAATTTCTGACCCTAATCTATAATCCTAGTTTTACTCCATAAAACTACCAATTCCGATCCTAATCTTTAAAGTGGCACTGTCATCCCCCCAGTACAAAAGGAGTATTTCATAAAGATAAAATCTAAATTAAGTAATCATACTGACTGTGTTGGAGTTTCACTAAAATTCCAACCAAGTCAAAAAATTATACTGAGAAAACATAGGGACTACATACAGTCTCTGTATATTTCCCACGCATGACACTCCTAGACATTGGGCGGAGCTACCACTCATAACTAGTGTTAACTGTGTCTTTGGACATTGAAGCACCAGGAGCTGAAGATTACCGTCTGGAAGAAGATGGGGGCGCATGTGAGGGACAGGTTCAGGTAAGTAAACCTGACCTTTACCTGACCCCCACCCCCCAACTGCGGCCATCATCAAATCCCAGACAGTGACAGTGCTACTTTAATAATAGTTTTGCTCCTTAAGATCCCATTTCTGTCCATCTCCAGTTTCACTTTATGTTCCAATAATAAAGAAGCACCTTACATCAGAAAGTTGACAATTGAACTAAGTCTCCCGTAATCCTTTGCTGTACCTTTTATGATTTTGTGATGGTTTGAGGAAAGCTGAAGCTGAGATGTTGCAAAGCCTGGGAACAGTAAGAGGGCTATGAATTGTCAGAAACTTTAAATATCAACCAGAAGCATAGCTGACTTGGATATATTTCTGATTTGGCTAGAAATTCACTCTGAATTCCTGACACTTCTCACTTTAGTGCAACACCCTGAGCGTGGGGGATTAAAAGGGAATATCATGATTTAAGACAAAATAGCAGAAACTGAGACATTCTCCAATTCATCTATGTTTTCAGATTGTATGCTTTGATCTAAAATGGTGAATTTGCAGTTTAGTAAATAACCAGTGTTTATCCCTAGTTAAAAATGTAAAATCTATGGCAGAGGGGATAATACATAGCAGGATTTATTACTAAACGATATGGCGGGAGCCTGCCAAACCCAGAGAACCGGGGCCATGAGTGATCGTTGGTAAATAGGGCGTTATCCTGTGAGGGCTATCAATATTATTAATAAATAGGGAGTATCCCGTCAGGGTTATCAATATTATTAACAAATAGGGAGTATCCCATCATGGCTATCGATATTATTAATAAATAGGGCGTTATCCTGTCAGGATTATAAATATTATTAATAAATAGGGAGTATCCCGTCATGGCTATCGATATTTTTAATAAATAGGACGTTATCCCATCAGGATTATCGATATTATTAATAAATAGGGAGTATCCCGTCAGGATTATCGCTATTATTAATAAATAGGGTATTATCCCGTCAGGATTATCGATATTATTAATAAATAGGGAGTATCCCGTCAGGATTATCGATATTATTAATAAATAGGGCGTTATCCCATCAGGATTATCGATGTTATTAATAAATAGGGAGTATCCCGTCAGGATTATCGCTATTATTAATAAATAGGGCGTTATCCCGTCAGGGCTATCGCTATTATTAATAAATAGGGCATTATCCCGTCAGGATTATCGCTATTATTAATAAATAGGGCATTATCCCGTCAGGATTATCGCTATTATTAATAAATAGGGCGTTATCCCGTCAGGGCTATCGATATTATTAATAAATAGGGAGTATCCCGTCAGGATTATCGCTATTATTACTAAATAGGGTATTATCCCGTCAGGATTATCGACATTATTAATAAATAGGGAGTATCCCGTCAGGATTATCGATATTAATAAATAGGGCGTTATCCCGTCAGGGTTATCGCTATTATTAATAAATAGGGCGTTATCCCGTCAGGGTTATCGCTATTATTAATAAATAGGGAGTATCCCGTCAGGATTATCGCTATTATTAATAAATAGGGTGTTATCCCGTCAAGATTATCGCTATTATTAATAAATAGGGAGTATCCCGTAAGGGCTATCGATATTAATAAATAGGGCGTTATCCCGTCAGGGCTATCGATATTAATAAATAGGGCGTTATCCCGTCAGGATTATCGCTATTATTAATAAATAGGGAGTATCCCGTAAGGGCTATCGATATTAATAAATAGGGCGTTATCCCGTCAGGGCTATCGATATTATTAATAAATAGGGAGTATCCCGTCAGGATTATCGCTATTATTAATAAATAGGGAGTATCCGGTCAGGATTATCGCTATTATTAATAAATAGGGCGTTATCCCGTCAGGATTATCGCTATTATTAATAAATAGGGCGTTATCCCGTCAGGATTATCGCTATTATTAATAAATAGGGCGTTATCCCGTCAGGATTATCGCTATTATTAATAAATAGGGCATTATCCCGTCAGGATTATCGCTATTATTAATAAATAGGGTATTATCCCGTCAGGGCTATCGCTATTATTAATAAATAGGGAGTATCCCGTCAGGATTATCGCTATTATTAATAAATAGGGTATTATCCCGTCAGGGCTATCGCTATTATTAATAAATAGGGCGTTATCCCGTCAGGGTTATCGCTATTATTAATAAATAGGGCGTTATCCCGTCAGGGCCATCGCTATTATTAATAAATAGGGTGTTATCCGGTCAGGATTATATTATTAATAAATAGGGTGTTATCCGGTCAGGATTATCGCTATTATTAATAAATAGGGCGTTATCCCGTCAGGATTATCGCTATTATTAATAAATAGGGAGGATTATCCCGTCAGGATTATCGCTATTATTAATAAATGGGCGTATCGTCAGGTTATCGCTATTATTAATAAATAGGGCGTATTATCCGTCAGGTTATCGCTATTATTAATAAATAGGATTATCCCGTCAGGATTGTATTAATAAATAGGATTATCCCGTCAGGATTATCGCTATTATTAATAAATAGGGAGTATCCGTCAGGATTATCGCCGTCAGGTTATTATTATTAAATAGGGCGTTATCCCGTCAGGGCCATCGCTATTATTAATAAATAGGGCGTTATCCCGTCAGGATTATCGCTATTATTAATAAATAGGGCATTATCCCGTCAGGATTATCGCTATTATTAATAAATAGGGTGTTATCCCGTCAGGATTATCGCTATTATTAATAAATAGGGTGTTATCCCGTCAGGATTATCGCTATTATTAATAAATAGGGCGTTATCCCGTCAGGGCCATCGCTATTATTAATAAATAGGGCATTATCCCGTCAGGATTATCGCTATTATTAATAAATAGGGTGTTATCCCGTCAGGATTATCGCTATTATTAATAAATAGGGCATTATCCCGTCAGGATTATCGCTATTATTAATAAATAGGGCGTTATCCCGTCAGGGCCATCGCTATTATTAATAAATAGGGCATTATCCCGTCAGGATTATCGCTATTATTAATAAATAGGGTATTATCCCGTCAGGGCTATCGCTATTATTAATAAATAGGGCCCGTCAGGATTATCGCTATTATTAATAAATAGGGTATTATCCCGTCAGGGCTATCGCTATTATTAATAAATAGGGCGTTATCCCGTCAGGGTTATCGCTATTATTAATAAATAGGGCGTTATCCCGTCAGGGCCATCGCTATTATTAATAAATAGGGCGTTATCCCGTCAGGATTATCGCTATTATTAATAAATAGGGAGTATCCCGTCAGGGCTATCGATATTATTAATAAATAGGGCGTTATCCCGTCAGGATTATCGCTATTATTAATAAATAGGGCGTTATCCGGTCAGTTTTGGCGTTTTCGTTAGTAAGTAGAGCGAAGCAAGCGAGGTTCAGGCGGGCGGAATCCTTCCATCACGTGACTCTGCCGTGTCTGGTTTGGTTTCCATGGGGACACATTCCGGCGCGTCATTGCCAGTTCACTGACGTCACACTTCCGGGACCATATAAGGGACGCAACGGAGACCAGGACGTACGCTACGTGACTGGTGTGGTGAAATGACGTCAGGCGTATGCTGTTGCCATGGTTGCTGTTTATTTACTCAAAATAAAACAAAGGGTGACCTCCCTCACCTTGCAGAACACCAGGGGAACCTCTGGGCTTCCCCCATTAAATAACAGTAATTTATACAGATACTGGGCCATTAACATTCAGTTATACCGATACTGGGCCATTAACATTCAGTTATACCGATACTGGGCCATTAACAGTCAGTTATACAGATACTGGGCCATTAACAGTCAGTTATACCGATACCGGGCCATTAACAGTCAGTTATACAGATACTGGGCCATTAACAGTCAGTTATACCGATACTGGGCCATTAACAGTCAGTTATAGTAATACTGGGCCATTAACAGTCAGTTATACCGATACCGGGCCATTAACAGTCAGTTATAGTGATACTGGGCCATTAACAGTCAGTTATACCGATACTGGGCCATTAACAGTCAGTTTATACCGATACTGGGCCATTAACAGTCAGTTATACCGATACTGGGCCATTAACAGTCAGTTATACCGATACTGGGCCATTAACAGTCAGTTATACCGATACCGGGCCATTAACAGTCAGTTATACCGATACCGGGCCATTAACATTCAGTTATAGTAATACTGGGCCATTAACATTCAGTTATAGTAATACTGGGCCATTAACAGTCAGTTATACTGATACTGGGCCATTAACAGTCAGTTATACCGATACCGGGCCATTAACAGTCAGTTATACCGATACCGGGCCATTAACAGTCAGTTATACCGATACCGGGCCATTAACAGTCAGTTATACCGATACTGGGCCATTAACAGTCAATTATACAGATACTGGGCCATTAACAGTCAGTTATAGTAATACTGGGCCATTAACATTCAGTTATAGTAATACTGGGCCATTAACAGTCAGTTAAACAGATACTGGGCCATTAACAGTCAGTTATACCGATACCGGGCCATTAACAGTCAGTTATACCGATACTGGGCCATTAACAGTCAGTTATACCGATACTGAGCCATTAACAGTCAGTTATAGTAATACTGGGCCACTAACAGTCAGTTATAGTAATACTGGGCCACTAACAGTCAGTTATACCGATACTGGGCCATTAACAGTCAGTTATAGTAATACTGGGCCATTAACAGTCAGTTATAGTAATACTGGGCCACTAACAGTCAGTTATAGTAATACTGGGCCACTAACAGTCAGTTATACCGATACTGGGCCATTAACAGTCAGTTATACCGATACTGGGCCATTAACAGTCAGTTATAGTAATACTGGGCCACTAACAGTCAGTTATACTGATACTGGGCCATTAACAGTCAGTTATACCGATACTGGGCCATTAACAGTCAGTTATAGTAATACTGTGCCATTAACAGTCAGTTATAGTAATACTGGCCCACTAACAGTCAGTTATACTTATACTGGGCCATTAACAGTCAGTTATAGTAATACTGGGCCATTAACAGTCAGTTATACCGATACTGGGCCACTAACAGTCAGTTATAGTAATACTGTGCCATTAACAGTCAGTTATAGTAATACTGGGCCACTAACAGTCAGTTATACCGATACTGGGCCACTAACAGTCAGTTATACCGATACTGGGCCATTAACAGTCAGTTATAGTAATACTGTGCCATTAACAGTCAGTTATACCGATACCGGGCCATTAACAGTCAGTTATACTAATACTGGGCCACTAACAGTCAGTTATAGTAATACTGTGCCATTAACAGTCAGTTATACCGATACCGGGCCATTAACAGTCAGTTATACTAATACTGGGCCACTAACAGTCAGTTATAGTAATACTGTGCCATTAACAGTCAGTTATACCGATACCGGGCCATTAACAGTCAGTTATACTAATACTGGGCCACTAACAGTCAGTTATAGTAATACTGTGCCATTAACAGTCAGTTATACCGATACCGGGCCATTAACAGTCAGTTATACTAATACTGGGCCACTAACAGTCAGTTATAGTGATACTGGGCCATTAACAGTCAGTTATAGTAATACTGGGCCATTAACAGTCAGTTATACCGATACTGGGCCATTAACATTCAGTTATACTGATACTGGGCCATTAACAGTCAGTTATAGTAATACTGGGCCATTAACAGTCAGTTATAGTAATACTGGGCCACTAACAGTCAGTTATAGTGATACTGGGCCATTAACAGTCAGTTATACCGATACCGGGCCATTAACAGTCAGTTATACTAATACTGGGCCACTAACAGTCAGTTATAGTAATACTGTGCCATTAACAGTCAGTTATACCGATACCGGGCCACACAGTCAGTTATACTAATACTGGGCCACTAACAGTCAGTTATACCACTGTGCCATTAACAGTCAGTTATATGCGGCATTAACATCACTGGGCCACTAACAGTCAGTTATACCGATACTGGGCCATTAACATTCAGTTATAGTAATACTGTGCCATTAACAGTCAGTTATACCGATACCGGGCCATTAACAGTCAGTTATACCGATACCGGGCCATTAACAGTCAGTTATACTAATACTGGGCCACTAACAGTCAGTTATAGTGATACTGGGCCATTAACAGTCAGTTATAGTAATACCGGGCCATTAACAGTCAGTTATACCGATACCGGGCCATTAACAGTCAGTTATACCGATACCGGGCCATTAACAGTCAGTTATAGTAATACTGGGCCATTAACAGTCAGTTATAGTAATACTGTGCCATTAACAGTCAGTTATACTGATACTGGGCCATTAACAGTCAGTTATAGTTATACTGAGCCATTAACAGTCAGTTATAGTAATACTGGGCCATTAACAGTCAGTTATACCGATACCGGGCCATTAACAGTCAGTTATACCGATACCGGGCCATTAACAGTCAGTTATAGTGATACTGGGCCATTAACAGTCAGTTATACCAATACTGGGCCATTAACAGTCAGTTATAGTAATTCTGGGCCATTAACAGTCAGTTATAGTAATACTGGGCCATTAACAGTCAGTTATACCGATACCGGGCCATTAACAGTAATTTATACAGATACTGAGCCATTAACAGTCAGTTATAGTAATACTGGGCCATTAACAGTCAGTTATACTGATACTGAGCCATTAACAGTCAGTTATAGTAATACTGGGCCATTAACAGTCAGTTATACCGATACTGGGCCATTAACAGTCAGTTATACCGATACTGGGCCATTAACAGTCAGTTATAGTAATACTGGGCCATTAACAGTCAGTTATAGTAATACTGGGCCATTAACAGTCAGTTATACCGATACCGGGCCATTAACAGTCAGTTATACCGATACCGGGCCATTAACAGTCAGTTATAGTGATACTGGGCCATTAACAGTCAGTTATACCAATACTGGGCCATTAACAGTCAGTTATAGTAATTCTGGGCCATTAACAGTCAGTTATACTAATACTGGACCATTAACAGTCAGTTATACTGATACTGGGCCATTAACAGTTAGTTATAATGATACTGGGCCATTAACAGTAATATATACCGATACTGGGCCATTAACAGTCAGTTATACTAATACTGGGCCATTAACAGTCAGTTTTACCGATGCCGGGCAACTACCAGTCAGTTGTACTGATACTGGGCCATTAACCGTCAGTTATAATGATACTGGGCCATTAACAGTCGGTTTTACCGATTCTGGACCATTAACAGTCAGTTATACTAATACTGGGCCATTAACAGTCAGTTTTACCGATACCGGGTGTGGCGGAACCAACCTCGCCACTGTACACTGGAGAAGCTTGGTTGCTTACCTGCTCCCTTTAGACTATGACCCTGCAGTTCAGCCTGTTATTTCTCCTAGTGAAAGGTTTATTTGTGCCTTTCTGCCGGGGTGTTCGGTAGATTCAATCTACCGAACAAACTACCGAACGATGTACCACCTGGGAGGTGGAGTGTGCCATCAATTGACCACCCAGAAGCTGCGGTTAACCGCAACTTAATTGATGAATGCTGGGTGGCCTTTGTTCGTCTGCCGAACACGTGGCAGCGGCCATTTTACCTCCCGAACGGCCAGCGGTGTTCAGCACCCAAACTATGGAACTGAAAACGGACACTTATTGGCACGAACACCGCTGAACCGCCAGCCTCCTTACCTTCCCATTCGGTAGCAGAACCGAATGACTGTTCATTCGGTAGTTTAACCAGATGAACAGCATCACCCAGATAGCTAAGCCATGGAGCCTATTTGTGTAACGAAAGACTATGGGAAAGACTTTGGCTCCATAGCGATTGAACTGTATGTATGTGATCTGAGCGCCATTCGGTAGTAATGTGTGCTCGGATTTAAGCTATCTAGGGATATGTGGAATGTATATGTTTTAGGTAGTAAATGTAACTGTATGTAATTTTATGTCTTTTACTGTATTTTTACTGCCATGTGGTTAATGGAGTTTTGCCTCTGTCCTTGGAGATAATTGGATTACTTCCCAATTATCTCCAGGACAGAGAGGAGGGATTGTGATGCATTGTGGGAGTATGTAAAGGTGTATGTATGTGATTTACTAAGAGCCAATATGTTTCCCAGTTTCCCATCTGGTCCCCTAGGGGAGTGTCCACCAGGTGGGAGACCTGCATAAAAGCCGGGCAGTTAGCCCCAGTAAACCAGATTCTGCTTGACCCTCAAACCGAAGTGTTGTTTCGTCTTTGGGGGGATTTACTGTATGCTGTTAGAGACTGATTGCCAGGAGTGTAAGCCGCTTGGGGGCTTTTCCTGTTCGTCTGCTAACAGCTATTCGTGTCTCCAGTTCGGGAGTTTGGAGTGCTACTTGATATGCAGTTCGGGAGTTGGTGAATTCGTGGGTTTGCAGTTCGGGAGAGAGGTGCTTGCAGTAGCTGCCTGTGTATCTGAAAAGGGGGAATATCGCCTAAACGGTTTTTAACCTCTTGTGGGCAAAACGGTCCGTTACACCGGGCAATTAACAGTCACTTGTACTGATACTGGGCCATTAACCGTCAGTTATAATGATAGTGGGCCATTAACAGTCAGTTATACTGATACTGGGCCATTAACAGTCAGTTATACCGATACTGGACCTTTAACAGTCAGTTATAGTAATACTGGGCCACTAATAGCAAGTTTTACTGATACTAGGTCATTACCAGTCAGTTATACCGTTAATGGGTCATTAATAGCCAGTTATACCAATACTGGGTAAAGGGTAAACAGGTAAAGGGTGACCCGTGTACCTACCGGGAACATTTGCCAGATGTAAATAGGTAAAGGGTGACCTGTGTACCTACCGGGAACATTTGCCAGGTGTAAATAGGTAAAGGATGACCCGTGTACCTACCGGGAACATTTGCCAGGTGTATAGGTAAAGGAAGTCTCGTGTACCTGCATATGATCCCTATTTACGTGTAACTCCAGCTATGCCATGAGATACACAGATAACCTTCTGTAAATGCCAGGCGTGGAAGAATTAGCAATATTAGAGACTCTGTATAGAGAATCTTGGTTTTGTACATTGTACTATTGAGAAGGCTATAGTTTTAGAGACCAATATGTAATTCTCCAGTTGCATTTCACATTGTGTTACTCTGGGTTTACAAGGCAGAATGTCCCAAGTCCTTTTCAACTGCCTACGAAGGCTTTTGAAAATGAAGCTCAGCATTGTTTGAAGATGTGTTGTAGGAGTTTGGCTTACGCTATCATCATGCTTCTTCTGGTAATTGTTGTAGGAGGGAATTGAATTGAGAATTCTCACATTTACTTACAACACTTACAAAATCAATAAAGCTCTTATTTGACTTGTGAATGCTTTTCCAGACTAGTTTCCCATCTGAAAGTTGTGCATTGTAAATGATTTGGCTTTCACCTTTGCCATGTCTGATTTGCCACAAAGTGTGAGCTCAGATGACAGGTTCTTATGCAAAAGATGTGTTGTGGGGAATTATCTTTCTGCCTTTAATTCTCTTGTATGTGTTAGGGCATAGCAGAGTCATAAACAGGCTTTGTTTATTGAGAGAATGAGTGACACAAAGTGTAGGGAACCAGAACATAAAGATCTTTTGTGGGTGTAATTACAGACAGCGTTCCCTCAAAGCACATTTTTATATGATGTGTACTAAAACAAAGAAAAGGTTTATAAAATGTGCACTCTTTAGGATTTATCGTAAATAAAAATTGTCAATATAAACTGTTTGTTACTGATCTTTTCATACATGAACAGTCCATTTTTAGAATCCAATATTAATTAACACTGAATACGTACCGTGAACTAGGAAAACCTTGACTGCCAGGGTGGCATTCCCAAATAAATACATAAAAGCTACAATTTCTTTTGAGAACTGTACAATGGGGACAAGGGTGGCAGCCAGTTTAAGCGGAATTGCTTTAGTTGTCTAAAACGTCCCCTTAAAGGGACACTGCAGACCCTTAAAACACTTTAGCTTGCTGAAAAGCTTTATGTGTGGTGTCCTCTTTTTTTTCATTTTGCAAAATGTGCAGATTTAAATAGAAATTGGCATGCTTGTAAATTAAAATGGTTTCACCCCCTTGGCTTTCAAGTTGACCAACCAGGAAGTAACAGGTCCTGATAGTTCCTGGTTTGGTTAGCTCTGTGGAGAAATACTCATGAGGCAGCAATTGCCCAGAGCACTTGCCTTGTAATTATTTCTCATTGAGCTGCATTGGGGAGTTTCTGATTGGACAGCCACAGAATGTCTTGACGGGGTTGGCAGGGGAAGGCTTGCAAAAACTGCAGACAAGAAAACAGTAGATTTAGCAAGCTGATTTTAAATTTACACCCAATAATAATGCATAATGAAATGCATGTAAGTTTTCAATTGGTGTATGTCTATTAAACAGTGATTTTAACTTATTTTGTATTTGGGCAGTGGAGTGTGCCTTTAACCCCTTAGTAACCGCAGACGTACCAGCTAGGTCCGGCAAAAAATGGTCCTTAATGACCTCGGACGTACCTGGTACGTTTGCAGAAAATGTGAGCGCTGGAAGCGATCATGATCGCTTTCAGCAGCTCTTACGGTATTGCAGCGATGCGTCAATGTCGAGGCATCCTGCAATACCTCACCTGACTGCCGGGCCGCCAGGTGATCACTCCCCTGGAGCGATCACTTCTGGGTTGCCCCACGATGCTCTGCCTGTCTGCTGAGTGCCTCGAGGGGTCAAGGCCCTCAGTGAAGATAAAAAGTACCAAAAAAATATATAAAAAATGTAAAAATTTTATATATATATATATATATATAGAACTAGTATGTCTGAGGTATTCCTACTTACTTACCCGATCCTCGCCGTTCCTCCGCCGGCGATCGGTCTTCCTCTCCATCTGGGGGAACTGTCTGACAGCCCAGATAGTCCCCCCTTCGACAAATTAGTACCCTACGGGCCATGTGATCGCTCTGAAAGAGCGGTCACATGGCCACAATAGGTGTCCATAGTACTGCCTGAACTGACAGGCAGTCCCCCTGCTGGTAAAAAAAGTTTTTTAAAAAGTTTGAAAATAAAAATAAAGTTAATAAATAATAAATAAATATATATATATATATATATATATATATATATATATATACACATATACATATACACACACACACACACACTTTAAAATTCCACAGATTATATATATATATATATATATATATATATAGTTAAATACAATGCTAAACAAGAATATATATATATATATATATATATATATATATATATATATATATTGTATAGATATATTATAAAAAATAAATAATGAAAACATTTTTTTTTTTAAATGTATATATATAAAAATGTTATTATAACTCTATTTGGTTCGGTTTCCGAACAAAGACCACCCCAGAGACCCATTAGAATGTGGAACGTTGAGTATCTTGTACGGAAACCGCAACAGAACTAATTAATTGAATGCACGTGGTCAGGACAATGGATGGCGGCCAATTTGTCTTTGTCTTGTCCGAACGCAGGCAGCAGGACTTGGTCATCGAGTGTCTGGAACTAACTTTTTGATTTTTATGGCTCCCAGAACTGTGTATTGTCCGGTTAATGGGGGAATTGGGATTATACTGCTGAAAAGCGCTTTCTTTGATGTTCTACAGACTACCAGCGGAGATATCGGTTTTAGTATTGCAGCTCCGCTATAAGAACTTTGTTATTAGCAATAATCAGCATGGTTTTATGAAACATAGCTCATGCCAAACTAACCTAATTGCATTCTACGAAGTAGTAAGTAGAAGTATAGATCAGGGTGTTGCAGTGGATGTGATCTGCTTGGATTTGGCCAAGGCTTTTGATACGATTCCTCACAATAGGTTGGTCTTCAAACTAAAAGAAATTGGTCTAGATGAATATTCTTGTTCTTGGGTAGAACATTGGCTTAAGGATAGAGTACAACGAGTTGTCATTAATGGTAAATTTTCAAGCTGGACAAAAGTGGTAAGTGGTGTCCCTCGGGGTTCTGTTTTGGGACCGCTTCTATTTAACATATTTATAAATGATCTTGCAATAGGCATTGAAAGCCATGTTTTAGTGTTTGCAGATGACACAAAACTCTGTAAAGTAATAAAATGTAATAAAGTAATAAAATGTGAGCAGGATATTGATTTGCTGCAGAGGGATTTAGATAGACTGGGGAACTGGGCACTTAAATGGCAGATGAAATTTAAAGGACCACTATAGTGCCAGGAAAACATGCCCCCACCCTCAGGGTCCCCCTCCCGCCCGGTTCTGG